CTGACATTCCCAACCCTGACATTCCCAACCCTGTCATTCCCAGCCCCGTCATTCCCGGCCCCGTCATTCCCGGCCCCGTCATTCCCAGCCCTGACATTCCCAGCCCCGTCATTCCCAGCCCCACCTCCTCACCCCCGCCCCGCAGCCCTGCACAGTCCTGACCTGCCATCCTGTTTATGCCACATCCAACCCCACGTGTTCCCTCCTCCCGGCACCTCCCAGCTGCACCAGTAACCCCGGCAAACTGGGATATCCCTTCCCTTGGACAGACACATCACATCCCTGCAAGGAGGGACTGGGGCCTTCCAGCCCCTCGTGCACGGCTTTGCCATAAATCCCAAAAAAACACCTGCAACGATGCTGGGATGGAATCCCAGAATGGAGTGGGATGAATGAGACCTTAAAGCTCATCCCATTCCCTGGGCAGGGACACCTCCCACTATCCCGGGGTGCTCCAAGCCCAGCCTGGCCTTGCTTGGACGGGCTCACCCTCAGACACAACCGGGACAAGGACACGGCGCTGCCGGGGGGCTCAGACCCCAAATAACGCCCCAAAACCCCACAGCCCCCGCCCAGCCTGCAGACAAGGGGGACAAAGCAGCCTGGGGTCACCCGAGGTGACAGTGGCCACCGGCCCCTCTGTCCTGGCCGTGGGAGGCGCTGGCACGGCCCGGCCCTGCCCCAGGTGGGGCTCTAAGCACCAGCGCTAATCCCGGGATAATTGCGGCTTTAGCAGCGATAGGGCCCGGATTAGTGGGGAAATCCCGGGGTTAGGGGCACAGAGCTGGCACCGCGCGCGCCGGAGCCAGGGGAGAGGGATCCATGGAAAACAGTGAGGGAACAGAGAGAGGGATCCATGGAATGGAGTGAGGGATCCATGGAATAGAGTGAGGGATCCCGGGAACAGAGAGAGGGATCCATGGAATGGGGTGAGAGATCCATGGAATGGAGTGAGGGATCCCGGGAACAGAGAGAGGGATCCATGGGATACAGCAGGGGATCCTGGTAACAGTGAGGAATCCATGGAACAGAGCGAGGGATCCATGGAATGGGGTGAGAGATCCATGGAATGGAGTGAGGGATCCATGGGATACAGCGAGGGATCCTGGGAATAGAGTGAGGGATCCATGGAATAGAAGGAGGGATCCCAGGGATAGAGTAAGGGATCCCAGGAACAGAGTGAGGGATCCATGGCATGCAGTGAGGGATCCCAGGAACAGAGTGAGGGATCCCGGGAATACAGCGAGGGATCCATGAGAATATACTGAGGGATCCTTGGAATACAGTGAGAGATCCTGGGAATACAGCAAGGGATCTACAGTAATACAACCAGGGATCTTGGGAACACACTGAGGGATCCCAGGAATACAGCGAGGGATCTGTGGGAATATAGTGAGGGATCCTTGGAATACAGTGAGAGATCCTGGGAATACAGCAAGGGATCCCAGGAACACAGCGAGGGATTCCAGGAACACAGCAAGGGATCCCCCGGACACTGGTGCCCAGCAGGGACACACACACCCGTGGCTCAGGCTGTGATTCCCTCTCCCCATCCCAAGGGAAAAATGCCAAACCCACGGGCAGGATTCCCCTCCAGCCCAGCTGTCCCGCCTGGGACTGCTCTGCCTGCTGGAATCCCCTCCATTCCCAAGCCTTTGGCTCCTCTTCCCTTCCCCAGCATTTCCCCTGCAGTATCAGGGGCCTTCCTCACCCTCTCCATCACCTCCCACAGAGCCCAGGCAGGGGCTGGGCAGGGGGGTTTGATCCTGGAATGACGAGGAGAGCGGGAATGTGGGGTGGGAGCTTGAATTGGGGTTGTCCAGCACTGTTTGGGATCCCCCAGAACTGTCTAGGGCCCCCCAGGACTGTCTGGGGTCCCTCAAAACTATTTGGGATCCCCCAGAACTGTTTGGGGTCACCCAGCACCACCTTGGCTGCTCCCACACTCGAGGGGAGGCAGGTCCTGGGTGAGGAGGCTGAGATTTGGGAAAATCCCTCTGCTCCCTGCTGGCTTTTCCTGGATCCCTTCCCAGCGAGCCTGTTCCCAAAGGATCACCCGAGAGGGGAGAGATCCCAGCCAGGTCCCAGGGACCGAGACACAACAAGGCCGGGCGTGCAGGCAGCTGCGTCCGGGGGAGTGGGAGGAGGAAGGGAGGCTCCCTCATTGTCCTTCCCACAGGGAAAAGGGACAGTCCCGAGCCTGGAAGCGCCAGGAAACACTTCCAGCTCCTCGCTCCAGCCCCTGGGGCCGCAGGGACCCGTCCCCCCGGCGCTGCAGAAACTCCATCTGCAGCATCTTCCCGGGATTCCATGCACTTCACGTCCGACTGCAGGAGCCGGAGGATCCCCTGGCTGCTGACCTGCACGGAAACGCCCGGCTGCTGCTGCTGCTGCTGCTGCTGCTGCTGCTGCTGCTGCAGGGAGGGGAAGCAGGGCAGGAAAGGCCATTCCTGCAGCCCGCTCTGGGTGGGGGATGCTCCAGCAGGTGCCCAGTGAGGTGAGACAGGCACGGAACGATGGGGAGAGGTGGGAAAACAGTGCCAAGAAGGGAAGCAGGGAATGGGAAGGGATGAAAGGCAGCGGGTCAGGAGCTGGCACGAGAGGATCCAGTGGTGGATACGGAGCTGGAGCGTGGCGAGGATGGGTTTGGGGCCCATGGGATGGGCTATGTCCATTCTGGAGAATCCACGGACAGCAGGACAGCCTGCTCTGGATGAGCCTCCTCCAAAACAGGGAGCAGAATCTCAGCACCCCAGCCATGGTTCCAGCCTTTTCCGCCTCCTCTAGGAGCACAAACCAGCACCCAGCACGCTCCAATAAATCCAAAACACCCCTGAGATGAGAAAGCCGTGGATTTAACACCCAGTGGAACAGCCAGGTCGGCTCCCAGGGGCACAGCACACCTCGGGGATGCCAGAGCAGGTAGCAGGATGAGGTTTTCCAGCTGGATTTCCCCATGGGGATGTTGTTTACTTTCTCTTTCCCCCAGGAAATATGCTGCTGACTCAGGAAACACCCTGAGGCACAGCTCTGCGGGGAGGAGACACTTCCCAGCCACAGCTTTGGTCCTTCCTTTCATTTTTTTGGCCAGTCCAGTTGGGGTCAGATTGGAGAGCAATCAGTCACTTGGGAAATAACACCACTCCAGGCCTCCTCCCTCAAAGAAACCTCAAAAGACAGCATTTAAGGCGAGCTTAATTTGGACAACTAAAAATAGCCAGCACCAGTCACACTGGAAAATGCAGGATGTGGAGCTTCACCCTCTCCCAGCTCCAGCCTGCACAGGGGGTTTGTGGCCCCCAGCCCCATGGATTTGTCCCCAGGGATGGCCTGGCTCCCACAGGGAATCCAGCAGGACCCTCTGAGGCCCATCCCAGAGCCCTGCCCGGCTGCTCCGATGAAAGTGTGGGGACCCAAAACTTTCCCAGGCAGGATGTGGTGACTCAGAGCCACGTCTGCAGAGCAGGACACCCAGGAAAGATCCCAGCCACGCTTCCCAGCTTCTCCCAGCCCAGCCAAGTCTCTGATCCTGGCTCCCTGCAGCTGATTCAGCCCTGGGCGAAGGCAGCCAGGCCTGTGCCATCGGGATGAATCCCGGTTGTCATTCCCTCTGTTCCAGAGGCTGTCACCCACACTGTGACTCTCTTCCAGCCTCGCTCTGGCCATCCTGAGGCTCCTCCAGTGCCAGCCTGGCATTCCCAGCTGCCAGCACAGCCACAAATCCAGCCTGCCCTCATTTCCCTGCACTCCCCCTCCTTGCACTGAGCTCTCCCTCCTTGCACTAATCCCTCCCTGCTCCAGAGGCAGGAATAATGTTTAACTCAGGTTCACGCCGGAGCATGAGCTCCCTCCTAGCCCGGGTCAGCCCCAGGCGTGTCCCCATCACCGAGGCCATGCCGAGTCCCTGCTGCTGGCACGGCCACCAGCAGGAAGCCCCTCTGGAGCGGGAAGCTCCGGGAAGCTCTCAGCGCTGCCAGCTGCAGCGATCCGTCACGCCGGGATTGGGATGCAGCCGGGCTGAGCTCTGCAGGTGCCACGAGAATCCCACAGCCGGCAGATCCCGCTCGGAGCCATCCCATCTCCCCGGGAGCATCTCAAAATCAGGGGGCTTCCACAGAGCAAGGATGAGAGGGGACAGTGCTGGAGGACTGAGCCATCTCCTGGCTCGTGCCGGTGTCCCTGGGCTGCCTGTGGAATGGCAGGAGTGGGAGAGCAGCTTTCCCAGCAGATCCTGGGCTGTGCCCCCAGCAGCGCTCCAGCAACACGGGGTTATTTTTAAGAAGCTGTCGAGAAGGTGGGAAGGGAGGCGAGGAGCTGGAATGCTCCAGGGCCACGCCACTAAGCCTCTGGAAAGGCTGGAGCCCCGGAGAGGCTAGGCATCGGCATTCCCAAGCAGGAACAAAAGGCGAGAAGCGAAAAGCCGAGGGCATTCCAGGGGCCACGGGCACCTCCCGGCCGAGCGAGGGGCGGCGAAGGGACACTAAAGCTCCAGCTGCTGCAGCAGGGTCCTGAATTAGCATCTCGAGAAAAATCAGACACCTTCTGCCCGAAATCCGAGCCCGGACCTGAAAATCCCATCAGCGACCCCGATGCTCAAAGAGCAAAGGTCACTTCCAACCCCACCCAGGCCCTGCCACCGCTGCCCCGCGGTGCCCCCGGTGCCCGCACTCACCCCCTGCCCACCGCCAGCCCCCCCAGGCCGAGCAGAGGCAGCACGGTGAGGGCCAGCGGCTTATTTTTAGCCTGGAGAAGGCAGGAGCCGGGAGCAGCCATCCCGGCTCTTGCCCTTGGCATGGGACACGCCGCCGTCGCCCCCGGGCCGCCCGCGCCCCGCTGCCCCCCGGCTCCGCAGCGCCGCGTCCCCCCCGGGCTGGCATCGCCTCCCCTGGCACGGCTCCGGGGCCCGGGCAGCAGGATGCTGGGCTCAGCCCTGGAGCCGGCCCCGCGGCACAAGGAGCGGGATTATTTACAGCTCCTTAACGGAGCGAGGCAGGGCTGACCTTTCCGAGCCGCAGACAAAGAGGAGACGTCGCGAATCGCTGCTGCGGGACCCTCCCCGGCCCGGCGGGACGAGCGGGGGGCCAGAGCCGCGCTGGGGGGGCTCGGCAGCGGGGAGCCGGCCGAGGCCACGGAGAGCCGAGCGCGCCGGGATCCCAGCCTGGGAAAAGGAGGGATCGGATTCCTCCCTCCCCGGCCCCGCCGGACAAACTCTTCCGGGTGGGGACTCCTACGCGCTTCGCTGTGCCCAGGCTCGGCTCGCTGCTCCTGCCCGCAGCCCTCGGCGGCAGCGAAACACGGGCACACGGCTCGGAACGGGGCACCCGGCACTGCTCCTCGCCCCCGGCGCCCCGCTCGGCTCAGCCCAGCTGCCGACTCATCCCTGCCGTGGAAGCGTCGAAGGAAAAGTTTCCCCGTCAGCACAAAAGGCTGACACTTGGCCGAAGCTTCCCCTTGGCTGCTGCTGCTGCCCTGGCCAGGAGTTCCCCCCGCTGGGGACACGCCAGGGCCCGGCCTCGGGTGGCTGCGGTGGCAGGGGACAGGCCTGGTCCTTGCAGTGTGGCACTGGTGTGGCACTGGTGTGGCACTGGTGTGGCCCAGTCCCTGCAGCGTGGCACTGGTGTGACACTGGTCCCTGCAGCATGGCACTGGTGTGGCACAGATCTGGCCTGGTCCTTGCAGTGTGGCACTGGTGTGACACTAGTCCCTGCAGTGTGGAACTGGTGGGGTCCCATCCTTGCAATGTGGCACTGGTGTGACACTGCTGTGGCACTGGTGTGGCCCCGGGGCCTGCCACAGCCCCTGTGCTGCAGGGAAGGGAGGGATCCCCGAGGCCAGGAGCTCTCCCATTGGCACTGGGCAATGGATGATTGATCCCACCATGGATGATCGATCCCATGATGGATGATCAATCCCACCATGGATGATCGATCCCACGTCCCTTCCCTCGCTCTGCAGCTGCAGGATTCGGGCAGAGGGCTGCTGGTGTCACAGCTGTGTGTCCCCTCCCCAGCCTGCACCCCCCCTGGTCTGTATTTAGGTCCCCATGTAGGATTTGATGCCACGATGCAGAAATCCCAGGAAGCTGCCCAGGAGCACCCCACGAAGGTCCCCATGTCCCTCACCACCAGCCTGGGCCACGGTGGCCTGGTCAGCCTGGAGGGAGCAGGGCCAGCCCCAAAAGGGAATCCCACAACCCCAATTCCCGATTCCAGGGGCCTCGCTGTGCATCAGCTTCCCACGTTCAAATGTGAGACCCCTCCCAGAAGCTCACAAACGCAGGAGGACTCTGAACTCAGCTCTTACTCACAGAGAGCTCTCCCAGGATTTAAGGTGCTTAATTAGCGGTTTAAAAGAGTCACCAGCTGGGTGGGTGACACCCCAGCGGGTGTTATGCACTCCACAGGGCTGCAGCTTCCCTCCTGTCCTTTCCCAGGCTTACCTTGTGTCTTTTTTCCCTTTTCCTAATGATCCAGCAGAGGGGCAGGGTTTATAAGTCCATAGAAACTCCATTATCCCCGTGCATTAAAGCCAAAAGCAACTAATTAAAACATCAAAGTCACAGGGTTCATTAGCTCGGCCTCAGCGCTGGTAGGGGGTGACAGGGATTGTGGCTGTCACCCGACTGTTCCCAGGGACCCCAAGGCCGGCCCTGCACCCCAAAACACATTCCCTGTCCCAGTGTCACCGGAAAACCCAATGGGCTGGGCAGGATCCTGTCACCTGCCCATCCCTGTCCCCCAGCTGGTCCCCTTTGCCTGCACCAATGTGGAGAGGAGGGAGGCTGGGGAAAGCTCTGCCACCTTTGCCATCAAAGCTGCTTCCCCCAGGAGCATCTCCAGCCCCATCACCACCCATCAGATCCCTATTCCCACCCGGCACAGCAGGAGTGGGACAGGGATGGGTTCAAATTCCCAGCTCTGCACACCAGATCCCCTCTGGTGTGTGAAAACAACCATTCCTTACTGGGAATGCTGCAGCATCCCTGGATCCAGGTGTTCCCAGCAGGCCTGGGGAGATGGGGACAACGGGGAAGTGGCACCGCTTGTGCTGCAGTGGCCACTTCCCATCTAAGGGCCTGCATCCATCACCATGGTCACACCGGGCACCGGTCACTCCCACTGCCATGGTCACACTGAGCTCTGGTCACTCCCACTGCCATGGTCACACTGCCATGGTCACACTGAGCACTGGTCACTTCCACTGCCATGGTCACACTGCCATGGTCACACCAGGCACTGGTCACTCCCACTGCCATGGTCACACTGCCATGGTCACACCGAGCTCTGGTCACTCCGACTGCCATGGTCACACCCAGCACTGGTCACCTCCCACCTAAGGGCCTGCATCCCACTGTTGTGGTCACGCTGAGATTTGGTCACTTCCCATTGGCAGGGTCATATGGAGCATGGGTCACTTCCCATGCAAGGATCTGCATCCCTTGCCATGTTCACACTGACCATTGGTCACTTCCCAAAGGATCTGCATCCCATTGCCATGTTCACACTGACCACTGGTCACTTCCCAAAGGATCTGCATCCCATTGCCATGTTCACACTGACCACTGGTCACTTCCCAAAGGATCTGCATCCCATTGCCATGTTCACACTGACCACTGGTCACTTTCCAAAGGATGTTCATCCCATTTCCACGTTCACACCGACCACTGGTCACTTCCCCAAGGACCCTCACCCATGTGCACGGCCACTCCGCGCCCCCCAGCCGGGGCTGGCTGTCCCTGTCCCGGCGAGCGCCCTCCCTGCCCAGCCGCTCCCGAGCCCAGCGGGATCCCCGGGCTCTCGCTCAGGTTTTCCTTTCCCACACGGCGCAGCCGTGCCCGGCGGGGAGGAGCCGTGGGCGAGGAGGAAGCCGGAGCTGGCAGCCCTTCGCCGGGCCCTGCGCGGGGAGCAGCAGCAGCAAAGGGGCGGCGGCTGCCAGTGCCCCCCACGGCACAGATTTGGGTCCCCAAATCCCCGCAGGCTCCAGCCCGCGCTGCTGGAACGGGCGCGTGTGGCCACTGCGGGAAAACTCCGCTCGTGGCCTAGCAGGGAGGAGGAACAGGAAAAAGGAAAAAAAAAAAACAAAACACATAACCCGAGAGAGGAGCGGGGAACGCACGGAGAACCCGCGGCCCCGGCGAGGGGCGGGCGGGGACGGAGCGGGCTCGTCTCCCAGGGCTTGGGGACAAGGGGAAACTCCAGGCTCAGCTCCACCCCGGCGCTTTCGACCGCTGAACAATAGTGGAGAGGAGCAGCCGTCCCTCCCTGCTCTTACTCATCCTGCCCAAGGACCTGTGCCACCCTTCGGCTGCCCCCGCCCCGCCCGGCCTCTGCCCGGGGGCGCGGGCACGGCGGCTCCCTGCTCCGCCAGGCTCGGGTGACAGCGACAGATCCCCCGGGAAGAGATGCGGACCCACGGCACGCGAGCGGCGAGCCGGCAGCGCAGGGAATTCCCTCCGTCATCATCGCCAGCGGAAAAAAAAAAAAAAAAAAAAAAAAAGGAAAAAAAAAAAAAAAAAAAAGAAACCAACACCCAACAACAGCCTGCGCCCTCTCAAACCTCTCTACCTGCAGCGCTCGCAGCGCTTCCCAGCGCTTTTCCAGGCGGGAAGGGAGCGGGGAAGGAGCCGGGGCTCGGGCGGGGAGCGCAGCCGCGGCCAGGGCGGGACGGGGCCGGAGCCCGCGGGGATGCGCGGGGCCAGGGCAGGAATGGGGAAGCGCTGCCTCCTGCCCTGGGCGCTCCCCAGCTCCAGCGGCACCATCCCGGCACCGGCACCTTCCCCGTGCCACGGCCACACGCACCCGAGGCAGCCCAGCCCGGCCCCAGGGAGGCGCAGGGCGCAGTTTGGCCTCCCAGCCCACCCAGCGCCCACCGCTGAGGAAGGGTCCTGCACCCCTCAGATGCGAGGGGCGCCTGCAGCCCCCCCTGAGCCGCCAGGCAGCCCCTGGGAGGGTTTTGGGGTGGTCACCCGAGCGGACAGCCGGGGAGGGAAGCCCAGGGCTGGGGAGGGATCCCCGGGGCGCGGCGGGGTGGGGCTGGCGGAGCGCGGGGGCGTCAGCCTCTCTCGCTCATGATTTAATAATTTAGGTGCGTTTCAGTGCTCAGAGAAGCGAAAGATTGAGGGCAGCGTCTGGAGCCAGGCGGGGCGCAGGCAGCGGTGCAGCCCCTGCCGTGTCCACGCAGCCCGGGGGGTTTGGGGTGGGGGGCTCAGCTCGGGGTCCCCCGGCCCCAGGACGGCTCTGGGTGCCCCATGGCGAGCTCCGAGCACTCACCTCCACCCCAGCTCGCTGCCCTCGGCTCCTGCCCGTCCACCCACGTCCAGGGCTGCCAGTCCAGGGCTGCCGGTCCACGGCCACGGGCAAAAACTGGCTGCACTGGTTTGAGCTTCGCAATGCGAACCCCCACCCAAGCTCAGGTCTCCAGAGATAAGAGCACAATAACCTATTGTCCCTCCTCCCCTCCCAACATCTCCACTCGCCTCTGGCGAAGCGGGGAGGGACCACCCAGCCCCGCACAGCCCCCCCGCCCCCGCCGCCGGGCACGGACCCACCGAGCCGGGCCGGGGATGCCGGGAGGCTCCGGAGCCGGGGCTGGGATGCAGGGAGAGCGCCGGGGGCAGAGGCAGGAGGAGGCGGACGAGGCCAGAGCCTGGCCGGGCTTCCAACAGATTCCCTGATTTATTTTTTAATTTCTTTTCCGCCTCCCCACTCCTGTTTTCTCCGCCGTGGCTCTGCCCAGCTGGATTGGTGCAGGCAGGAGGGCGACGTACCCAGCCGTGGCGTGGGCACCCCCCACGCACCTCCCCGCCGCATCCCACCCTCCCCACCGCCCCCCGCCCGAGTCACCCCACTCCAGGCAGGGAGCAGCCCCCCTTTGCTGCCCCACGGGTGAGCAAAAACCACCCCGAACCCACCCACGCAGCACCTTCCCCGCTCTGTCCTTGGGCTGCCGCAAGCCCCCCTCCCCTTCCCCCGCCTCTTCCTTCCTCCATCATCCTCATCCTCCTCCTCCCCGCAATGCCACAACTCGCTGCCTCCCCAAAAAATCCGGCAACACGCGCGACCGGGAACCTCGCGCCCCCCACCAGCCGCCTCAAGGGCGGGCAACAAGTTGTAGGATCCGACCGCAGCGTCCTCCCCACCCCAAATACCGGGGGGCCGCCGGACTTGCCCCCCCACAAGACATTTGGGGGCTGCACGCCCCGCAGCCGCCCACGCCCCGGAGCGGCCGGACCGCGCTCACCCCATCACCCCACCCCTCCCACGAGCGATTGGGGTCGGGGGGGGGTCCCACGCCGATCCCCCCGTGATGCAGGCACCCGCCCCGAGCCCCCCCATCCCACCTGCTGCACCGG